CCAAACCTGACGTCACACCAGAACACCAGATTGCTGGTGTCACACCAGCACACTATATTTCTGGTGTTACACCAGAACACCAGATTTCTGGTGTGGAAATGTCCCAAATCACATCTGTGAAAAAGTCTGGTGTAACATCAAGTGACACCAGCCCTCGGGCTGGTGTATTTTTCACTAGGGAATACTCTTCAGGTGAGGACAGGGCGCTCCTCGCGACGTGTCGATAAAGTTCGCTTTTCACTCTCTCTCTCTCTCTTTCTCGCTCTTACTATGATTTCAAGCTGCGCCGGCAGATAACTTGTCGACCCGTGGACACGCTGTAAGATGCAGGAGGCAGGCAGCTGTGCACAAGACGGCTCCTGCTGCCTCATGTACCACCCGTGCAGAGCTCCAGCGAGGTTGTGGCACGTGCAGAAAGACAACAGTGTATGGGAGTGTCATGGCAACGAGATATTTTTTTCGCTCTCATACAGTTTCACCGCTTGGCCGCCGGCGACATTGTCAGCCGTGGGCAGGGTGCCAGCGGAATAATGCAGCCTTTCGGATGCACGTCGAACGAACACTATCTGATTTCTCGCGTCGCGCATTTAGCCCCCCCCGTGTCCTCACCTAAAAAGTGTATCTTACACCGCGACCCAAAGCCGACAGCACGCGCGCACGGGAAAAATACAACGAAATCCGCGAAAACAAAATATCGGCATAGCAGTCAGCGCCTCAAACGTGAGCAGGAACACGCTCTTTCACGAGCTTCTGTAAAGAAAAAAAAATAAACGCGAGGAACAAAATGGCCAAATGCGACCACCCTAAGCGAAGCGCACATGAAGGCACCTTAGGTTGTAGCATTATGCTATATTCTTCAGTGGGAGTACTGCCTGAATGAAACGCATAGGATGTGTGTCCACGAGGCATCAATGCCATCGAGTTAAGCGCGCGCAATTTCTGCTGCTATTCTCAATAATTTTATCCAGTTCGCCGTAGGTGTCTCCAGAGCTTCTCGGGGTAATGGTTTTGAAGAGTCAGCCGTTGATGTTTGTTCAATAATGTTGACTCCCATCGAGTGTTCCGATTCTTTGATAGATGCTCCGTCGCACGTCGAATTTCAGTGCCCATCGGAATGGTGACACCAAGTTTTGGCTTATTGGATGTTGTTGCAAAATTATTAGGTGGTCTTTCGATATCTTTTTGAGGATGGGTCTTGAGTGCTGCGACATAGCTTAAGCCCTTATCGTCAAGGGCTGGGGGTTGTGTGTCCTGCAGTGAGGCTTCTCCACTTTTCTTGGAGGTGCTGTTGGCCGCCACATTGTGAATGGGTTCTGGTATAGCTCCCGAATCCTGCCTTACAATCATTCTTGCAGAGCGGTAGTCAACGGCGTTTCTCTTTGTGTGCGTGACGACATCTCGCTCTTTTCTCCATTTTGAACAGGCTAGAGATGTAGCTTCATGAACTTCTCCACAGTTCATGCACTTAATCACAGGGGATTTACACTTGGTGTTGCTCGTGGTGTTAGTTCTAGGATGCGGCTCTGCACAACGAGAGCATGCGGAAGAACGTGTGCATGAGACTGCAAAGTGTCCAAAACCACCACAGTTGCGACACTGTATTGGACGAGGCTTGAATTCCGTCACTTGGTGTCGTACTCGTCCTAGCAGCGTGAAACTTGGTAAAAGTGAACTGTTGAATGTGAACTTTACGACACCTGTCACCCCAAGACGACGTACTCTGGCTATGGGGCCATCCGATCGTAGGTCTTCTAGAATTTCAGGATCTGACAGTTCAGCATCGACATTTTTTATGACACCAATCAATGTGGGCCCTTCGAGGGATTGGTAGGCCCTGACAGAGACATCAGTAAGTTCAGGACATCTCAGCAGAGTCCCTGTTTGTCCGTTGCGCACATCAACGGTGACGACTTTGAGGCGCTCGTTGGAACGGATCCGAAGGATGCACTCTGGACAGGGCTTCTCTAAGGCGTTGGAAAGCCTCAAGCTGCTTAAAGTTACCAGCTTTTGGTGAGGCTTTGTAGCGTCAAAGATTACTGCGAGTCATTCACAGACGTTCGGGTGTTTGGGAACTGTTCCCGAACTCGAAGCAGAATCAGGTAGTATTTTGTGTGATCGCTTACGTGATTGTGCCTTGCTCCACCGTTCGTTGTTGATGTTGCTTTCATCCATTATTTCGACCCCGGTCTCGGACGAGTTCGTATACTGACTCAGACGTCCAGAATTTTGACGCGGTGTCCTGAGCATCGCGCGTTGAGTCATTCGGCAAGCAGTGTTGCCCAGGAGTGATGTGGTCCGTCCATACTGAAGGTGTAACGCTCGTGGCGGCGCTTTAAATGCTCTGCTGTGGAAGTTCGAACGTGGAGCCGGGCATCATGGTTGGGGTCTAAAAAAGACCACCCTTTCAAGTGGCTTCTCACTGGCGACTGCTCGGACGTCGCCGGTAGTTCTGAAGCTTCTTATGGTTGTTCTTTGAAGGTCACAGCAGGCTATAGGCTACCGAAATGGCTGTCGAATTGACGGAACGAAACTTTTATGTCGTCAATTTTAGGCACTTCTTGTTCCTCCTTTGCAGCATCGGCGTATAGCAGCACAGCACGCATCAAAAGTCGCATCGAAAGAAGCATCGAAAGTGGACGCCGGTATGGAGTTTGCTTTCGATGCGAGCTGCACTACTTTCCTCCCAGTGCTGCACTTTCGTAGAGCTCTCGCCGGGTCCTCACAGAAAGGGGTACCGTTCACGCTGGGTTTCAAGAATCTGCTTCGTCGAACGACTCCAGTCAAGCTCGAAATGTCACAGACGGTACAGTGTACTAGACCCGTGGCTATTTTAATGGCAGCCTGCCGCCATAGCGCTGTCCGCCAAATTACTATCATCGCTAGAAATATTATAACTCTACCAAAAATATGGCCGACCGTGGCCGCATTCTCCTCCATAGGCGGAGCTGGTCAAACACGATCCAGCAAATAGACATAGAGGTCAGTGGGGGTCCATCTACTGACTTCGATGTTTTCCACCTGGCAACACTGCTCAAGAGAAACATATCATAGCAGTAGAGATTTGGTCAATCTTTGGCCAATGGCCGGAAATGGTCCTTTAGCCAGTGGCCAGATAGTGGCTAGCCATTGGTTGATGACTGGCCTTTCTCTGGCCATTGGCCACTGCCGTCAGCCATCGGTGAACCATTGGCCGATGAATGGCTACTCTTCCGCCATTGGCCAAAAGATCATTGCCAGCCTTGGCCAGTGCTTGGCCAAAATCCGTGCTGCTTGGGTTGACTCGAGGACAGCAGCCTCTGTCGCTGATCAGCAACAAAGAATGAGTATCCTCTCACGATATGAAAAATCTTATATGTATAAAACAATTCTTTGGCCATTATACGCATATAATCAAATAAGATCATAAAGGAATATACAAGTACCTTATAAGTACTTACAAGAACAATACAGGATTAGATAAATAGATATAAGAAACTGATAAAAAATGTCGCTTGAAAACATGCTCGCGCATTTTCATACCACAACTTTCTGAACCGGCGATTTCCAGAAATAGTCCATTGGTCATTGGCGTCAAACTTTTCCGCCGACAGAACCCCTCTAGCTCCATACAAAGGAGGGGTTTGGGTGTAAACTCAGGATGACGTTAATAGCACTCTACGAGCTCCAAGCGCGATGTGCCTTTTAAAGAAAACGTAAAAAAAATGACAAGAGAGGACATAAAAGTGGGCGTACTTGTGGCTATCCATTCATTAATTCGGTGGAATTTGAAGGGTGTGTTCAGCTTGGAAGCTGAATTGGTGTAGAGGTCACGTGACGTCTATTGTTCCGCTAAATTTAGCGTGGAATCAAACTGTTGTTGAGGTCACGTGACATCAATTTTCCCGCCAAATCTAGAAAAGCAACTAAATATGTTCGTAGGTGACGCGGCACCGAGTCTTGTGACGTTATTATCCCCGCTAAATTTAGCTGGGAAACTGAATTGGTGTAGAGGTCACGTGACGTCAGTTTGCCCGTTAAATTTTAAGGGCGAATTGGTGTTAAGCTCAGGTTACGTCAATTTTTCCGCTAAACATGGCAGAAAAACTGAATTTGTTCATAGGTGACGTGACACCAAGTCATGTGACGCCGATTTGCTCGCTAAATTTGGCTGAAAAACTAAATTGGTGTTGAAAGTCACGTGAGGACAATAATCCCGCTAAATATAGTGCGGTCACTCCGGCGCGGACGGAGACGCCGCTGAGCACGGAAACGGGCGGCTAATGGCTGCGCTCTAAAATTACTTGAAATCATTGTCATCCACTCCTGCCGATGGCAAGAAGCTGACCAGTTCTATGATCTGAACTACACGGTAGACAAAAGTTCACGGAAGCTTGAGCCAGGAGGAGGGACCTCAGGGACCCCGTGACGGCAGTGACACTCGCGTTCGCTCGTACTTTTCGCCTGGACCTCCAGCACCAGCCGTCAGGATCGCTACTTCCACCAACATGACACACCAGGTCCTGTAACGTCACTTGCAGCCACTTTGGGATCGCTTTCATTCTACGACCGAGGTAGGTCGCTAAAGACGGCAGTCGAAGACGCGTTCCAGGTCAACGTTAGCAGATCACGGTCATTTGGCAAGCTCCCTGGACAGCCGGGCGCCTTTTTGTGGCGCTTGCGCTCGGCTCTCGCTGAGCTATCAGCAACAGAACATAGACAGACGCATAACGGAAGCGGTGCAGCGTTAAATGCACAAAAAACACAGGCTAATACAATTTGCCTGTTTTTTTTTTTGTGACGAACATATTTTACGCAAATTGAGGGTCGCATGAAAAACGTTCTTTTCCGGTATTCACCCGTAGGAGCGGTAGCGATGGGATCACTGTACGCCCGTATCTGCTCGCATGCAGGCGACATAGAATCACCGTTTGCGAACGCCACTTTTCCGTGCAGCTTGTCAACTGATCTAAAAACTTTGTTCCCGGTCGGACAGCCCGTCCAGGGGCGGGAGGGGTGCTCACTGGAGGCGGCCTCGGAGTGGCCCATGTTGGACTTGGCGGAGCCAATGAGGAGCGGCTCCTTGCGTCCCTCGCCGCAGTAGACGTTGCTGATGGCACTCAACTCCTGGGGGTCGCCCACCTTGGTGCCCGTGCCGTGCGCCTCGACGTACGACACCGAGCGGGGGTCCACCCGGGCCTCCTCGTACACGTCCCGCATGAGCGCCTCTTGGGCACGGGCCGAGGGAAAGGTGACGCCTGCAACACGGGAAGGATCCCCGCACTGCACCCCGAGTACAAAGCGTCCCCCCCTTCCCACCAAAAAAAAAACAAAAGAACAGCTCTTTTTTATCTTGATGCACAATACCTGAGACTGTGGTAAAAGCTAGAGAACTTGGTCGAAGAAAAAGGACAGGGGAAAGGAACGTCTCAAACTCAGCTACTGCGTTCATTTCCTCAGAGAGTTGTCTACCCACAACCTAATCACCGACCACCGACGTCACAAAGTCAATCTTTGTTATAAAATCCTACCCACACTGGCCTTCAGGTCAACCGTAAATGGTGACCTCAATCCTAAACTGAAAACATGTGACCTTGAACAAAACAAACACAACAAAACAAACACACCGACCCACTTCCTTTCCAGCCGGAGTCTGAAAGGGCTGTGCTTTATCTAAACGAGAACTGTAGTGTCCTCAACTGCAATTGGTCATTTTGCGGGCAAGGGTTCAGAAGAGGACATATCAGTTCTCGCTTAGATAAAGTACAGCACTTTCAGACTTCTGCTGGAAAGGAATTGGGCCCGGGTGTTTGTTTTGTTGTGCTTGTTTTGTTCAAGGTCACAGGTTTTCAGTTTGGGATTGAGATCACCGTTTACGGTTGAGGTGAAGGCCAGTGGGAGTAGGATTGTATATGTAACAAAAGTTGACCTTGTGACGTCGGTGGTCGGTGGTTAGGTTGTGGGTATATAAGGCTCTGAGGAAATAAACGCAGTAGCTGAGTTTGAGACGTTTTTTTCCCCTGTCCTTTTTCTTCGACCAAGTTTCCCAGCTTTCAGCCAAGTCTCGGGTATTCTACATCATGATCACTTTCCACCAGCTCGCCCGCGCACTTACTGTCTCTAGCTTTGACACGAAATCTGCTTTATCGGCCGATTTCCATGGAACTTTGTAACTTTTGATTGCAAAGGCCCGTTCACACACTTGAAACCAAGTAGGACCGGCTGAGACAAGACCGGTTTTAAGCCTCTTGCGACGGCTTTCGGCCTTCCCAGCAGTCACACATCCGGTCCTAAGTCGTCGCAAGAGGCTTAAAAACCATTCTTGTCTCAGTCAATCCTACTTCGTTGCAAATGTGTGAACGGACCTTAACAAAAACCTGACTCCCAAAGGCGCTACTACGCCTTAACCTAACTATAGAATAGACCCGAAAGAAATCTCCGGCAGGATTTGAAACTACCGAAAGCCTTTTTCGTTTTATTGCACGATAATTTCTTCAGCAGAAAACACAACCGTCGCAGCATAAAAATACGTCAACAACAGATTTGGTTGAGGTACAACAAGACGGCACTTCCTCTCGCACGCGAAAGCCAACACCTTGGCGAGTAACAACGGTTCCTCCAGCTCCTGTAGTGGTGCGCCGTCTCAGGGCGTATGTCAAAATTAAGACCGAATCTTAGACACACTTGCTCCGTGGTGAGAGGCGCCTTCGGGTACCTCTTCTGACACGGTGGCCGTCCTAAAAATCAGAATGCCGCAGGGCGTATGCGAGCTTATCTGGAACGCAAGAGACGGCAACGAAAGTAGAAGAAAAAGTTTTCATCAGTGGCCTCTCAGCCGATGGGTGGTTTATCATATTCTGTGCTTACCAGTTTTTGAAAGCATATTCAATCTTGTAGACAGCTTTCCTTTTATTTCCACTCCAAAAACAAATTACGCATTGCCAAACGCTCAAGGCTGGTTCACGCGACTGCCGGCGACCGATTCTTTTACGATATTTTCTGATATGTAGTAGTAGTAGAATATGTTTATTAAGAGGAAATAAACACCAAAATAGCTCCACTATTGAGTCACCTAACGTGGAGGGAAGATGGGAGGTAAAATCGGGTGGTGGTGTGACATCGCGTGTTATGCCAGGTTCGCTGACCTGACGTAGTCAAGGTCCGAGTCCATAATCATCGTTATCATAGTTCTTGTCAGGGGGCGGCCCTTGAACTGCATTCCTACAGAGCGAGGGTTTCGCCGCATTGGCGAGGTCAAATATACGTACTGCCTATGAGAAATGGTCATTTATTGTGTAAAGTTTTAACGTGCCGACAGCGAGAGAACGATCCGCGAAAAAAATACAGAAATATACGGTAATCACGAGTTTTCCACGGCTATTCGATAGATGGAGTCAGGGTTTTCTTTCATCGTAAGAGATCACAAGATGTAACGCACTCGTTCGTACGCAGTGGCGAGCGCGTGAAGGAGCCTCAAGTACTTCTCTACCCAAATGTAGCTCTAGCGGCCCGGACCAGATGGCGAAGTTTTACAACCAAAAAGTTATCTTATTCAACGGCGATTTTCTTTATTTCACAAAGAAGAGTGGGCGACCGACGGATGAAACTCTTGAATGCAAGCCGCACAATGTCAGTTACTAATAATTAGCAAAAACGAGCGCGATATTCCTATGAAAAAAATATTCAGAGAATCACAATTTAGTAACGAGACAGCAGTTTGTTCTGAAACGTTTCCACCTCGTTCAAATCGCTAGTGCTACATTTGGGCGGAGAACAAGCGTTCGGCGATGCCCAATTGATTGTTGCAGAAAAAAAAAGTTTTGTTAATATCTTAAATGGCCCATCTTGTTAGAGGCTACTTCACCTGTTACAGGTGAAGGAGCACCCGCGATGTCTGAAAGAAGATGTCTCCTGGACATCTTCGTCCACTCGCCTACACAAGCACCACACATGGTAGGGAGCGCATGCAGTCGGGTGTTGGAGCAAGCTGGGAGTCAACACCAGCTGTAAGAAAAGGCCCGTGCATGACGTCACTGTTAGTGGACTTGCCCTAAGCGGCAAGCACGCCGAACCGCGATGAGAATCGCCGCAAAGCGGCACGCGCGTCCACATTGGCCTCGGTCGAGGGCTAAAGTCGCGCTCGGTCCACCGAGACTCGTTGAAAGGCGACGCCGACGCAAGCTGGACAGCGCAGCGTGGATATGACGACGTTTGAGGGGGACAGCGTCTTCTGGGCGGTATTAGCCGAGTACACGACCGACATGAAGTAGTGGCCAGTGGGTCTTCAACACAACCAGAGTCCCTTCGGGGTCCGCGCTCACCTTCGGGCTTGAAGCCGTCGGCGTTGGCCTTGAGGTGCACGAGCTTGGCGTAGATGCGGCGTGCCTCCGAGACCCGCTGGAGGAAGAACATGCCCACGGCCTCGCTCCTCACGTAGCCTTTGCCTGGGAGGAGAACACGACGCAAGGGGCTCCAACACGACTCTTCCGAGGCTCGGCTGAACATCTACCGAAAGGTTTCCTCTCGCTTCCCAAAGGGCCGTTTAGAGTCCCGCTAAACACTCGGAAAGCCATGAAAAGCAAATGCAAAGTTCCACAGCATTTAATCAATAGTCTCCGGATAAAAAGTGTGGTTCTGGACAGTATAAACACTTAAAGACTTAACGTTAAGGAGTTTATCGTTTCCTGGAGAACGGTGTGGTCAACCTTTAACCGTTCGAATGGGGGAGCCCCGAACGCTCGCCCTGAGTATAGGGGGATAGCAGCTTAAGCCCCTTTAGTATTTGACCCGGGATGGAGACAGAGACATTCTCCTTTGCCGTCGCGAGATGGCGGCGTCCTCTCCGGCTTTGTCGTCCCGACACGTTCTCAGGGACGGCTTGTCCAGCTGGGAGACTGCTACAATGAGGTTTTGGTGATGCGAGCCGCCGGTCTGAGTCCGCTTTGACTCGATGTTGCTTCACTGGCTGGCTACGAAGGACAAGGCGCCCATTAGCTTTGACGTCGCGAGGTGGGAGTGATTTCCCCTTAAAGTATCGCCCAGATGGGATAGTTCCCGAAGGGGTCCAGCGTTTTTTGTTTTGTAGGAAAGAGAAAGAACAAGTTCCGTGGCTTCCCTGTGATTGGGGGAGGACCCGCTGGAACTGCGGTCGATAGAATTGTGTAATTGTTCTGATTGAACAGGTCCTGTGTCAGCGGGGAGCTTTCTCCACCGCGCTGGCGCGTTGAGTTTGAACAAGCCCGCGCGCGGTGCAAGTTATCTGCCGCGGTCCGTCGGTCCGTGTAACTTTGACGCGAGCGGCAAGCAGTTACTTTGAGCCTTACCGTGCGATGTGGGCACTTTGCGCAAAGGCGCGTTTTTCGTTTTACTACTGCCATGAGCGAACCGAAGAGTCTTGTCACCAAGTTTGCTGTCGTCGTTTCATTATATTTATTTTTATCGATCGTGCTCTTGACTTTGAGCGTTTTTCCTTGAGGCTCCGCCACCACCAACGAGCATCGAAGGGAAAACCCAGCGCGGCAGCTCACGTTTGCCCGGCCCTGACCTACACCTTCTTGGAAGGACCGGGACAAAACAAGCTTACTTTTAGGGAGGTGATCTCTACTGTTGCTTTTGCGTAAATTTTGTTTTCGAGGCATCCGATCTTGCTAACGTTTGTACATTTTTCTTGGGGTATGATTCAGATTTTTTTTTTAACTTTAGCTCGTTCTAGTGCGTAAGTGGCTGTTTCTGCGTTTTCTCCGATCGCTGTTGACCTTTGTAGGGGTCCACGGATTGTCAAACTGTACACTACAGCTTCTTTCCTTGAGCCCACCATCATACTCCACGAAAATTAAAGCTATTTATTATTAGTTTTATTATTAGTATTATTAAGAGGTCCACAACTGAGCGACAACTATATCGAATCTGGTGAAAATGTTTTAAACTCTCGCAAGCTCTCTAATGTCTCCCCCTCTAGGTCTACCTTTATGCTCAGATGTCTCTCTGTATCAACCCTTACCGAAAGTTGGGAACACCGACGGCCGCCATATTTTTCGGGGCATGGCTACCTGCGTGAAGCGTGCGATTGGGTCCGAGCTGACGCCGAGCGCCTGCGGCATCGCTCGTGAAACCAATGCAGGCTCAAAGTCCACGCTCCAAATATAGTCGGATAATCGATCGGATAATCGAAGCAGTAGTTAGTGAAGAACGGTCCATTACGAACACAGCGTAGAGGCAAGAGCTCCCAACCGATCACTGACAAGGTGAAATTTGAGAACGACAGGGAGGATCTTTAGTTATCCCACCACTAATGCGGTTCATGCGGTCGAGTCAATCGGCCAGGGCGAAATAGTGTAGGCGGCGTCAGGATCAGTACACTAAAATATGCCAATTACTAGTTCAATGATTGAAAAACGCATGGTTAAAATTAGAGACTTGCCGAGCGTCACCAAAAACCAGTGTTGTATGCGTTACCGAAAAAAAGTAACTAAATACGTTACTCGTTACTTGCAAATAAAAGTAACGCGTTACCGAGCTACGTTACCTCAAAATAAAAGGAACGCGTTACCGTTACCGTTACTGATAAAAAGTAACGCACGTTACTGTTGCGTTACTTAGTATTCACTAACTATAACATTTGCTGTTTCGACGTCTGATAAGTGCATAAGCTCCACAGCTAAAATATGTCTATGCGGAAACTTAATTACCCTCTCTTTACATGCTTCTTCAGGTTGGAGCTTGAGGACTTGGCACAACTTAAGAGTTTCAGCTGTGGCTGACACAAAAGGCACTTAAAAATTAAATTGTCATCTTTAGTTTCTGTCAGTTCGAAATATTTATTGAGTCCTGGCCAAGGCGATGAAGCTGCGCTTGCCGTAGCCATCCTACAGGTGACGACAACTGCTTGCGAATTGCTTTCGTGGGGGTTTTATCGTCTTCAGCTCTGACAACCGGTGCGCGACCTTGAAGATCCGCGTCCAGCACGGTTCAGGAGAAATCGCCGGGAAGCGTCTTTCTAGCGCAGTAGGATTGCGGGTTCTCTCTCGCACAAAGAATAGCCACTGGGATTCCACGAAGGGTTAGATTAGGATAGTAGAAAAAACTGAACCCTCTCTCCTCGGACGATTAGAAGTGGGCCTCGGAGGACTTCTATCATTGTGCCTGCCACTGCCCGCGACAGCGTTCGTCGAAGCGGGTCGATGTGCGTGGCGTTGGGGTTTCCGCAAAGCAGGAATGTTTGCCTGTCCAAACAGGACACTACAAGAATCGTCAGGCAACAAGACTTCGACGAATCGTTCGGTGCTCTGCTTCCGGGCGTATTGTTATTTTCTTTTTTTGCCGGGGGAAAGTTCCTTCTGTGCCCGGGCCCTCCACGGCGGCCTTGATCTGCTCATCACGTGGGTCCGGGGAGCCACTCACACGCTCTGTTGGCTGTCGGTCAATTGCTCAAGGCCTCCTCCTTTTTTGAAGTCCCGAAAACGGGAAAGAGAATGACACGCAGGTGTCATTCTCTTTCCCAGCGGGAAGCGAAACGCAGGCTTCGACGCAGGAATCTCCCAGATCCACCCGAAGCCGGACCTCCTTGGCCTTCCAGCCGAGGCGACGGCGGTAGCGAGGTCAACGAGCCGCGGGAGAAAACCAGTGGCAGATGGCCTGTGACGTCAAATCTGACGAGCACCGACGTCAAAGAATTGTGAAGGACAGTGGCATTTTTTGACTAAGGAATTTATGACTGGGCACTTAAAAACACAAAAAAATAATTATTTTTTTTTTCAAGTTTTAGGACGTAAAGTAACGTAACGTAATTTCGTTACACGTTACTCAAAATAAGTAACGTAAGTACGTTACCCGTTACTTCTTTCAATAAGTAACGAGTACGTTACTACGTTACCAAAAAAAGTAACGCGTTACCGGTAACGCCGTTACTTGTAACGCGTTACCGCCAACACTGCCAAAAACCAAGTCAGTCAATTTTAGAAAGATTGAGGAGCATAGGGGAGAGGCACGGAGGAGCGCTAAAGTTACCACTCGTGAAGCAGGAGCAGGGCGACCGACGTGATAATCTACACGCTCAGTATTTTCGTCTCTTATCCGCATTTTTTTCACCCTCGCTTCGCGCCTGTTGCACGGGTGGTAACTTTAGTGCACTGCTGCGCTTCCCACGCGTGCCACGTTTTTATAGAAATTGTCAATTTACTTGTTTTCAACTAAATTCTATTTTGTCTATTTTCACTAATACGACATTTGGTTAAATATTTGAGTTATCGTGACAATTATCCACCTGTATTGTGTTCCCCTGGTCGTACCACTCATTTCCACTGACCGCATTAGTGTAGCTTTCACTGCTTTCTAGCGCGACCTTCGACAAGGCTACGGCGCGTATCGCGCATCTCGATCGCGCACGTGCAGCCAGAGCACGTGCATTGGGGGCCGGCTGTTCGAAAGACACGCCGTTCGCCTCCAAAGAGCGGCAGAGGAAGAACGGGCTTCCGAAGGCAAGTCCCGAGAGAAAGTGGTCTCACCGTCGGCGTCGAATGCCTTGCACTTGCCATCTGGTGACAGCGTGCCGAGACGGTAAAAGTTGAGTGCCCTGGCGGGCTTAAGCGCAAGCGCGCAGCCCCCGACCAGGGCCGCCTCGCACTGTCCCGAGCGCAACGCCAGCATGGCCTGGTTGAGCGCTATCATGGCCGACGAACTGCCCGTGTCCACAGTGAAGCATGGCCCTGGGAAATCATGCAGAGAACGCCACCTGTCAAGCCTCCTTCCACGCGGGAGACCGCAAATCTACGGAGTCTCTCTAGACTCGTTGAAGCCGAACGTTAACGGAGCCCGCCGGTTGGACTTCACCACCAACTTTGTGCTTGACGAAAGGCCATAATAGTTAAGCTTTTCGACCTTGAGAAACTTCTATTGGCTCGAAAGGCAGCCGAGGGACCCACCCTCAATCTTGGCGTCCATCCGATAGGGCAATAATTAGCGGGACATTCAAATAAGCCAACTACAGCCGGGGATTCGAGCGTGGTTCCAGTCCATAAGGAAATCGCTCACCGTTGAAGTCGAGGCAGTAGGAGACGCGGTTGGAGAACATGGCCCGGCTGCAGCCAACCAGGGCGTGGCCGTCGATCTTGTCTGTGTCCTCGATGAAGGCCTCGTAGGTCTCGGAATCGCTGCAGCCCATGAAGACGCCTATCTTGCGTCCCCGCAGCGTGCCCGGGTCGTAGCCGGCGTCCACGATCGCCTCGTATGACGTCTCGAGGAGCATTCGCAGCTGCGGGTCCATGACGTGCGCTTGCTTTGTCTGCACGCCAAAGAACTGCGCGTCGAACTGGGACAGGTCCCGGATCTTGCCGGACCGTTCGGGAAGGCCCAGCAGCCCTGCAAGAAGAAAGAAAAAAAATGTATGTTTCTTTCCCAAAGGGCTTCGAAGTGTAGCGCAACCCTCTTCGCGCTGCTCTCTTTTGCGACAGAGGAAGCACTGAGAGGATTATGTATCTGTCACTGGACGCTATGGAGTCACGTGACGCCACAGTGTCATGTGACGTCACAGTGTCATGTGACGTCACTGAAGATACATGCCAGGGACACAAACTTTCTTGAGGCTGGCCCTATAATGCTATGGAACAGCTCGTTATACCAAAAGGGTCAGCGCATTTCTTCTCTCGACGCTCGGTACCTTAAGAGGGAAGAAAGAGCAAGCTTTGCCCGTAGCTGTTTTCGAACGTGTTTTGGCACTCTCCAGGTCAATCACCTGGTTGGTTATATCGTGCGTTATGTTTTAGTTTAATTGTGAATATCCACTTTGTAGGTGATTAGTGAGTTTATAAAGGATCAGCAAAGTAACCGTCCGGATTTTCTGATGATTTTGTGCACAATGCGAACATATGAGCATAGCCCAATGTGAGTACAGCCAAATGTGCCTACAGACAAATATGAACACAAATTAACGTGAGCATAGCCCAGTGCGAGCACAGGCTAATGTGTATATAGGCCAATGCAAGCTAGTCCAACCTAATCATTTATTCTGGAAAAAAACAGCGGCGTATCATCGCCCTTTCCACGCACTATGGCACTCCTATGAGCGGCCCGGGAAGAAGTGTTCATAATTAGGAGCTATTCATGTTTTTTTTTTTTGCGTCTGGGGGTTTCAGAAGGCAAAGAATGCAAGACGATAGCAAAACGGGGTACGCTGTGATATGTTCGCTATGTTTCTTTCGTGTTCAAACTCGGAGTGGCAAGACAGAAGGAATGGAGCCACTTCCGAAGTGTACGCAAAGTTTACATTCGAATGGCTCCACAATCTTCCGAATCTGTCTGATTGACCTAATATTCTCCATGTCACCAAAAGCTAAACATTTCTTCCTCAAAGTGGGCGATAATTAAAAATGAGGACACGCTCCTCTTTCCGCAACCTAAAGCAGACACTAGGCCGGGTGTGCCGTCAGATGGCATTTTCAAAAAATAATCGTCGTATTACGTCTTATACACCCAAAGATTTACGGTTTGCCAACATATAATGATCAAGGAGACAATAAAGACAACCAATACTGATGTTCTAAATGTCCACGAAATTAGCGGTTTGTATTGGACAAATGCCCGAGGATGCCCCGGCCGTCCTCGCACCTCTTCCCCAACAGAACATAGTGCCCTTGTTTTTTGATTGCTTAGAGTGTACTAGGACGTCTTGCCATATAGAACTGGTCTTTTTTATTGACTAATTGCCAACAAATAGTATGCCATCATGAACAAGCTTCTACAGAAGCACGTGAATCTGCCCGTGGAGCAGGGTCGGCAAGGGGCCTTGTGGAACTTTCCGGAAACGTGTATTGCCCCAAAAGAAACGAGGTCGCCGGGCCTCCGCGCAGGCGCGGTGTGATACACGCAAACGCAGAGTGCTTGCGTTCGATGGTATACGCCATACTAAAACTCACTATTATGCGGCATGGTTAGAACAAAAAAAGTATGAAAAGTGCCCATCAATTAGCGCCTGGAGAAGCCGGCCATCGTGGCGTATCGGTGACATCGCTGTGGAGCGAAAGCAGGCGCGACGAATCTGCACCCTAAGAAAAAATTTGGCCTCAAGCAACGTTACTAAAACACTCAGTTGGGAAACTCGCCGTCGAAACCTGGGCCGCTTGCGTCCACCGAGACCGAGCTAAATACGACAACAGCGCCACTCTTTATCATTTGTCTGTACTGTGGTCACCTTGAGCTTTTAGAAAGCATGTTTTTGCGTAAAAACAAACGCAAAAGACTCTTTTTGTATGAAATTTATTGGAGTTTAGTACAAAAAGAGGGTCGCGTTATGTTTTTAAAATCTTTAGTTTGCAGGATTTTGCGGCACAATTAATATTGTTTTTATACAACCATGCCTTAGCGGTCCTTTGAGGTAGCGCGTCCCGACCTAGGCGCATTTTAACTTCGGTCGTTAGACGCGGCGCGCCCGCCGGGGAGGTAGGGGTGGCACCCCTGTAACCTCTTCCGCTGTATCTGTTCTTAAAGCCAAAATAGAATTCACGTGCAGTTCCTCGAGCGGGCGCTGCGGGAGAAATGGTGGCGTTGTGTTCGTCATTAACTCGGTGCTCGGAGACAGATTGGGGCCACTTTTTCAAAGCTGTCTCTATGGGAGTTTCCCAACTGAGTGTTTTAGTAACGTTGTTCTCAAGGGACTAACGGCAGCATTTGGTCCTCTGAACTCCCAGTTGCTCCCCGAAAGGACCATCTCGCTCAAGCTAGGGACTAACTGCGCTCGACTGGGACCAACCGATAGGCGTGCGCGAGCAAAAGCATCCATTAGTCCCCCTCAGAGAGGGTGCATCTGTATGATTTAGTCCCCGAAGGCAAACGGATTGTTCGCCAGGAGGACGGATGCTATTTCGCTTGTCTTGGGGATCGTAAGACTCAACCCAGCACGGCTAAAGGTTTTGACAAAACTCGGACGAAACTGGCGAATTCGTTTAATGTGCCACGAACGTTAAGACATTACATGGTAGAGCTTCACACGTTGTGTGAATGCGAGTGAACGAATGTGTTGACTCGACTTCACCGAACTATCTCGTCAAAAATGATCTGTTGACATTCCACAAGTTCCATTTTCGTATTAGCCTTCGCGCAAAAAATTTGCATTTATCCAAACGCAACACCTCCAAATACTAACACTTTTTTTCTTTTTAAAATTAAACTTAACAGTTCCTAGAAGCCACGCTTTTAACTCCGGAGTCTCGCAGTCAGAATAAATGGTCACTTCAATCGCTAAAACTGAGCATTCCCACCGGCAACATAAGCAGTCGCGCAATGCGTCTAGATCGCATCGCAAAAAAAAAAAAAAATTAGATGGTCACACCGGCGTGTGCGATAAGCGAGTCCAACGCCTTCGTTGGCGAGTGGTTTCTCGAAAACTCTCGCTGCGAACACCGTTGATTGGCTCAGCCGCTCCGCGACTAGATCGCATCGCAAAAAAGTCGGGTCGAGAAGCGACTGCTCAAATCGCGTCGCTTTTTGCCCGCGATGGTCGCTTTTGCGATGGAAGTTATCGCGCGACTAGATCGCATCGCCGGTGGGAACGCGTTTCCGTCTCTGCGTGACAAACCTTTCTGGGTAGTCCAATGTCGACCTCAAAATCCGCAACGACACACTTGATGTACTTGATGCACGGCACGTTCCACTTAAAGAGCACATTCAGGGGCAGTAACCAGACGCCTTCATGCCATCGTCGTCGCTGTTTCCAAAACAATCCAGATAAACAACGAAGAACGAACCACGTCCGGAACGTCACACCTGGCATCACCCTACTAATACAAAACAAATGCAAACTAAAAAAAAAAAAAAGCCACTCGAGAAAGCTGAAAATGCTCAAGAGAGAGAGAGAGAGAAAAGAAAGAAAAAAAAAGTGTTTGCTTGTACGTCACTCGACCGTCGTGTTGAAAGTGGCGACCTTCTCCCGTCCTTGGAGCTCTTCGGTGTCTTTGTGTCGTGTGTAGTGGGAGCGGGAAAAGAGATTAACTTATGCGCGCACTGCCCCCTCCCCCCAATCCCCTACCCCGCATTCTTTGCTCCTTGTTCACGCGGGGGGTTGGGCGTTGGTTGGGCAGATGGGGTCCGTCGGGAAAATGGGAAGTGTCTTTGTTTGAAAAGAACCTGTTTTTAGTAACTTGAAAGTCGAAATACAGCCTTCGTCGGTGGCTGGTCGCCTTGTGTCGTCTCCGATCATGGCGGAATCCGGTTTGGATTCGCGGTACTGAAGGACTGCACTTGATCTGTTCTGAAGTCACAAGTCAAGGGAACTCGATTAAGGTATGTCGAAGTGCTTCTGTTTATGGTGTATTTATTAACTGCGGCTTGAGAAAGTGTTTTATTTTGAGCGCGTTCTCTAGCTTGCAAAGCGCGCGCCATGTTCTATTCTTTTTGGCACCATGGTTGCTGATTTTGTTATGCAGCACAGGGACCTCATATTCAATCGTATCGAGCGAAACGCCATTTCTACCTATGGCTTATTTTTTTTGTGTGTTTGTTTTGCAGACGCTGGCAGGATCGCTTGACCATGAACGCCTGTCCACAGATGCAGGGGAGCGCTACGGGCATAGCGCTGACCTTGAGCTAAGCGCGTGCTGATGGGATCGGTCACCAACTTTGTATCGCACCGACAAAACTCTTGCTCATGGCAGACGAAAAGTACCTCATGACACGTGAGCAGCGCTACATCAGCGCTTCGCTGCGTGTGAGAACCGGCATTAGTGGAGACATTTATTCGATTGTACACTAGACTTTCGCGTTGATGGCGGGAGATCGTGCCGTCACTTTGAAGCACAGTTTGAGCACGCACGCGCTGAGTTTGTAATTCGCAGCGAACGGTCTACTAAAGTCTAATATTGTGCTGGTCTGTTGTCCACAGATCGCATGTTGGATGCGAACCATTGTATCAGTTATGCAGCCTATTTGTTAATTTATTATGCGTGTGTTATAACTTATATCTCATATATTTGTCAAGCGATTGGGTATTTACGCTGCCCTGTTACTACACACTTTGCTTTTTTACACCCTTTAAGGGTGCTACAGCACCCTTTAGGGGTGCTGCAAGGGGTTTGCACCCTTCACTTAGCCGTCCAGCACCCTTTTTTTCGTAGGGTTAGCACCCCTCATGACGAGCGCGAGGGTGCTTGGGCGCGAGCACCCTTCCGATACATTGTGAGGGGTGCTGAGTGCTGGAAGGGTATTGGAAGGGTGCTCAATTATTCGGACAAGAGTGAAGATCTTTATTTTTAACAGAATAACTTGGAAAAAAGGGAAGCGATAGATATCTGTATGTCGTCTTCAGTGTATATAAGTGGGGTCAGCGTACATCAGATGAATTGATAAACGCCACAGTATATTTTTTATTT